ATGGGAAGAAAATGACTGGGAAACAAAAACCATAATGGAAAGTCAGAGGAGGAAAACATTTTCTACTTTCCAGCTTTATTTTTGTCACTCTTATAAATGATTTCTCTGGAAAAAAAATTACACAAGTCATATTAGTTTTTCAAAGGACAGACTTTTGAAATTTGGGGGGAATTTATTGAAATTCTCTTTATGGTTTAATTTACGGCCAACTAGAACTATCCTATTAATTCTCTTTTTTTATTAAAGTCAAATTTATTTATTTATTTAGAGGTAGAGTTTCACTCTGTCATCTAGGCTGAGTGCAGTGGCTCAATCACTGCTCACGGTAGCTTCCACCCTCTGGGCTCAAGCAATCCTCCCACCTCAGCCACCCAAGTAGCTGGGACCACAGGTGCACCACGCCCAGCTAATTTTTTAATTTTTTTGTAGTGACAGGGTCTTCCTACATTGCCCAGGCTGGTCTTGAACTCCTGGGCTCAAGCGATCTTCCTGCCTTGGCCTCGAAAAGTACTGGGATTATAGGCATGAGTCACCACATTCAGCCTAAAAGTCAGGTTTACTGATGTATAATTTATATGTAGTAAAATTCACACTTTATAAGTGTACAGATTTATGAGTTTTGAAAAATGTGAAAGGTCATATAAGTCCACCAGAGTCTTTGTAATCTCTTAATAGAGTGTTTTAATAACTCCCCAAAGTGTCCTCCTGCCCCTCTGTCATCAATTCCTTCCTTCCGTCTTTTTTTCCTGGTAACCAGTGATCAGATTTGTGTCTCTGCAGCTTTGTCCTCCCAATATCATGTAAATGGAATCATACAGGATTGGTCGTCTTGTGTCTGGCTTCTTTCACTTAGCATAATGCCTTTGAGATTCATCCACGTTGTTTCATATTTTTACCTTTAGTACTGTACCAGTTCTACCAACTTCTTTATGTATATTCTAAGGGCATGCAGAGTTTTGAATACCTGAATAAGCCATACGGCCGTGGCAATGTTTCTCAAAGCTCTGTCAGAGGAACACCTGCAGAATCAACCAGGGTGCTTGTTAGATTCTCAGATTGAGACCTACTGAGTCAGTGTTTCTGAGCTACTACTCAGTACTATGTGTTAAGAAACACCCACATGTAACTTTTACACATGACTAACGTAAAAGATCCTCAGCTAGTCCAGAATGAACAAGAATATTAGAGTCAGATGGTCCTGAGTTAGAATGTGGCTCTGCCATATCTTAGTTGTCTGAAGTTGGGCAAATTACTAAGGATCCCTCTGCACCTGTCTCTTCCTTTTTACTTGGAAACAGTTAATTTACTCACCAAATATTTTTAAGCACCTATCTTTATTTCCAGGTACAGTTCTTAGAACTAAGATTGCAGCAGGTGATGAAACAAAGTCTATGCTTTCATGAAGCACATATTCTATCACAGCAAGGTAGACAAGCATTTTAGCACATAAACTATGAGGTAATTTCGGATCATCGATAAATACTCTGTAGAAAATGAAACAATGTTTTGACATCGAGTGTACCTTAGTTAAGGTACAGCTTAGGCTACTTTTGTAACAGTAAGACTGGAAAATACATTTAAACAAGATGGAAGTGGGTTCCTCCTCTTTCCTCCGTAACTGTCTGAAGGAAGTGGTGAAAGACACATGCAGAATGCTTTTGTCACCCTCATCTCTGCAACCTTTCATCTTTCTGTTGTTTAGTTGCTTCAACTCCTATCACCTGGTCTGTATTGCAACTAGGAGAAAGGAGAAAAAGATTGTGGGGAATATGTGCCCATTTTTTTAAGGGCACATCACTTCTGTTCACATTCTATTGATTAGAACTTCTGGTCCATGACATATCTATCTGCAAGGGAAGCTGGGCAGCGTAGTCTCTACCTCTGTGGTCGTGTGTTCAGCTACAATTCCAGAAGAGAATGGCTATAGGTGGACAACAGCAGTCCCTGCCAGAGTGCAACTGGATGGGGCAGGAGACTCCATGAAGCACGGTAGTCAAAAAAAGCCTCTTTTATAAGAAAGTGATAGTCAAAGGAGCCAAATGGTAGAGTAGGCTAAATTTCAATTCCCACTTGTGACCCTCAGCCAGGCACTTTCACATAGTCAAAGCCTAACTGCCTCATGCAGGAGGGAGGTAATTTACTGTGTCTGCACCACCTTAGAGTAGATTAAGAACAGGGTAACTGACCGGGCACGGTGGCTCATGCCTATAATCCCAGCACTTTGGGAGGCCGAGGCAGGTGGATCACAAGGTCAAGAGATCGAGACCATCATGGTCAACAAGGTGAAACCCCGTCTCTACTAAAAATACAAAAATTAGCTGGGCATGATGGTGCGTGCCTGTAGTCCCAGGTACTCGGGAGGCTGAGGCAGGAGAATTGC